CCTCGGCCTCCCAAAGTGCTGGGATTACAGGTTTGAGCCACCGCGCCCGGCCTTGGCCTCGAACTCTTGACCTCAGGTAATCCTCCTGTCTCAGCCTCTCAAAGTGCTGGAATTACAGGCATGAGCCACCAAGCCTCAAAATTGTTTTTGATACTCTCTTCCTACTTAGAAATATTTGCTTAGATGTTCATGGGAGAAAAAAGACAATAACAGATAACACTTTAAATGCTTATTTTGCTAGTCAGATATTCCTGCTTATTTGCAATTTTTAATTCTAGCCTTGTTTATTTTGAAAAAAAATCAATTATTTTGGCAATACAGAAATAAAAGTCGATGATAGGAGGCAAAAAGCAGAACTTCTATGCTGCTAATATCAGTCATTTAATACTAACAGACCTAAAATATACTTTTGTGAAAATAAGGCCTCAAACTCAAACAGTTTTGCAGAACCACATTTTGAGGAAAAAAAAATTTTTTTTTTTTGAGACAGAGTCTCTGTTGCCCAGGCTGGAGTACAGTAGCGCAATCTTGGCTCACTGCAACCTCTGCCTCCTGGGTTCCAGTGATTCTCCTGCCTCAGCTTCTCAAGTAGCTAAGTCTACAGGCACACGCTACCACATCCAGATAATTTTTGTATTTTTTAGTAGACACAAGGTTTTACCATATTGGCCAGGCTGGTCTCAAACTCCTGACCTTGTAATCTGCCTGCATCGGCCTCCCAAAGTGCTAGGATTATAGGGGTGAGCCACCATGCCCAGCTGAGGAAAAATATTTTAAAGTCATTACCTTGCATTTCACAGCACCCAAAGTAGTAGCGTGACACAGCCATGTTGCCCACTACTTCCCATTTATTTTCATCAGGATCAAATCGTTCAATTGTGTTCCCTATCTCAGCTCCAACCCATCCACCTGTAACAAAATAGAAAAATGTTTATTTCTGGGATAAAGAAATCTTATTTATGACAAAGACCTTACAAAACATCTAAACCAAATACTTCATATTCTGGATGAGTATCACATGAACCAAAGAGGTTATCTGTTCCACGATCACATGAAAAAGTTAGAATCTGACCATGAGTAGAACTCAGGTCCTTTGCAAAATTGATGCTCTTCTGAGAAAAAAAAAAAAAAAAAAGAATTCAAGTATTTTAATTCGGTGTCTAATTTTCACTAAAGACTAAAACAAAACAAAACGAAACAAGCCCCAAAACTTCAATATATTGCATGGGAAAGATGGTATTTTGCAAAACTACCTTTTGAAATGACTTCTGGCTATTCAGAATATTTATCTTAATCAAGGACAGCTCCAAGTCTAATCAGTGTATGCTGTGTATTTGGTGTAATTTCAGGAACTTCAAAAAGGCCCTTAATCCCCACAACAACATGTTCTCCAATTCTTAAAATTGAAAATATTATTTCCCAAAAATTAACTAAAAAATGCAGATACATATGGAAGTAATAGAATATAATAGATTAAATCCACATTCAGGTAAGTGATATTTTTTACACAATAGGTTTTGATCGGGGGAAGACCCTGAGTTAGAGTGAACTGAAGGAATGACAAGGAGAAAATAGGGGAGACTGAGGGCTATGTCAACTTATAAGTTCCCTAAGAACAACCTTGGTTCTAACATCTATTACACAGATAATTAAAGAAGTAGAATAGCTTATTCATAATCATTCACTACATCTACAAAAATAAAAATAATATAGTGCAGAATTTCCTTGTGATACATTTAAGCTTTTGGCATGTGCTTTCTTACATTAGACATAATTAGGCCACTAGGCAGAGTGGTAAAATGTTATATGTTGCCGGGCATGGTGGCTCACACCTGTAATCCCAGCACTTTGGGAGGCCGAGGTGGGTGGATCACGAGGTCAAGAGATGGCGACCATCCTGGTCAACATGGTGAAACCCCGTCTCTACTAAAAATACAAAAAATTAGCTAGGCATGGTGGCGTGTGCCTATAATCCCAGCTACTTAGGAGGCTGAGGCAAGAGAATTGCCTGAACCCAGGAGGTGGCGGTTGCAGTGAGCCGAGATCATGCCGTTGCACTCCAGCCTGGGTAACAAGGGCGAAACTTCCTCTCAAAAAAAAAAAAAAGTTATATATTTAATTAAAATAATAAGATTTAACTACTCAGCTAAAGGACTTCACTGGATGTCTCATCTATACTTTATCTCCAGTGATACAATTTTGAGAAGAATTTAAAGAGCTGGCAAGCACATTTACAGCACACAGTAGCTCCAGGGCTACCTGCAGAAGAATGTGCGTGACTAGCAGCTTGGTCAGCCAGCCAACTGGCCAGGCAGGCATCTACCATCTGCCCAAGAACTGATGCACCTGCCCAACAAGGCTCTGCCCTGCAGGTGCTCAGGTCCTCCTGTACCATTCCCTGCCTGAGTGCCTCCTCAGGATGGACAGCCCAGGAGCATCACCCCAACCCCCCCAACCCCTACCTACACCTTTCCCTAAGACCTTGCACAGCCTCCAGAGTATGCAGATTAAAGCCAATTGGTTTTTTTAAAAAAAGAATTTAAAGAGCTGAAAAGAGGGAAAGATCATCTCCACGGTAATCAGGACCCAATAATTTAAATAATATTAGCTATCTTTACAAACATACCATATTCTCACTTCTTTGTGGGATCTAAAAATCAAAACAATTGAACTCATGGAGATAGAGTAGAAGGATGGTTACCAGAGGCCGGGAAGGTTGGTGGGGGGTGGGGAGGAGGTGGGCATGATTAATGAGTACAAAAAAACAAAAACAGAAATAATGAATAAGATCTAGTATTTGATAGCACAACAGGATGACTATAGTCAATAATAATTTATACATTTAAAAATAACTAGAAGAGTATTGCTTTAGTTATTCTTTTTTTTTTTTTTTCCTCCCTCATGTTTATTTGTACAAATAGCACAGGAGGACCCCAGCCCTATGCAGATGGCAGCCCCGGGGGGTCGCACCAGTCCTTCTGTCCTCACGTTGGCAGACAGAGATATCTACTCTGAAGCCTTTGCAGGGGTCTGGGCACCTTTGGGAGCCTGAGCTGGAACTGAAGCTGGAGCTGCAGCCTGGGCCTTGTTTTGATCCTTGGACTTAGCCTTGACTTTTGGCCGGCAGAGCCTGAGCCCCTTGGCAACACGTGCACGAGCACGCTTCCCAAGCTTGGGGTGGGCAATGTAGGCAAGTTGATCAAGCTTGCGGCTGACACCCCCCTTTGGGATCTTGGGCTTAACCTCCTTGGGCTTTACGAGAGCCTTGATGGCCTTGGCACGTGCACTCATGGCCTTGGCATTGTTGGCCTGCATCTTCTTTAGGCCCTTCTTGTTGTGCTTCTTGGCAAAGCACATGTTCCTCAGGAACTTGGGGTCCACCCCTTTAAGAGATTCATATCTTTGTGATCGGGGTTTCTGGATACCATTTCTGTGCCATTTTCGGGACTGGTTGTGTGTTGTGTGGTTCTTGGACTGGGCCATGTCTGCACCTAAGCCGCGGTTTCTGAAGCGCCTAGGACCAGCTGCTTTAGTTATTCTTTTTTTTTTTTCGAGACGGAGTTTCACTCATGTTACCCAGACTGGAGTGCAATGGTGCGATCTCGGCTCACCGCAACCTCCGCCTCCTGGGTTCAGGCAATTCTCCTGCCTCAGCCTCCTGAGTAGCTGGGATTACAGGCACGCACCACCATGCCCAGCTAATTTTTTGTATTTTTAGTAGAGACGGGGTTTCACCATGTTGACCAGGATGGTCTCGATCTCTTGACCTCGTGATCCACCCGCCTCGGCCTCCCAAAGTGCTGGGATTACAGGCTTGAGCCACCGTGCCCGGCCTAGTTATTCTTAATAACTGGATTGTTTATAACACAAAGGATAAATATTTGAGGGGCTGGATATCCCATTTTACATGATGTTATTATTACACATTGTGTACCTGTATCTCATGTGCCCCAAAATATATATACCTATTACGTACCCACAAAAGTGAAAATTAAAAATAAATACACAAATAATATTAGCTATCTTTAAATTGAACAGCATAATTACCCAAAGCATAGATAGCTCCATAACACACACACACTCCTAAACCACAGCGAGGATGATTCATTGAAGCTACAGTTGTCCACTGTTTAGTAACTGGATCATAGCATTCAGTACAATCAAAAATCATCGAATCCTTTTCACCTGAGTTAAATAAAAGAGACATATATTAGAAAGTTTAGTAATGCTAATAGATTAGCACCATTGTATAGTATTCAGTAGTATTCTCTATTGTCAAAAATGCAACCATTATGTCTGATTTTATGCTATTCATTAACTTTCATTTGCCTATTAATCATTATTATGAATCTATTGCACTGTCATTTATTAAAGCCCACTTATGAAACAGAGGCACGATTTTTCTATTATCTATTTCTACCACCCATGCAATCCATGTAATGTTTTAGGACACAATTTACATTTTAACAGTTCTATGTTTTTTTCATGTATTAGTTTGGGTGGCTGGCCCTGGTACAATTTGAGTTTAAATGTAATCCTTTTCTAACAACAAACAGAAAATGAAACTTTTAAAAAAAGATACCTGAATTTTCATTTTTGGTATTTATTTATTTATTTTTAGAGACAGGGTCTGGCTCTGTCACCCAGGCTAGAGTGCAATGGTATAATCATTGCTCACTGAAGCCTTGAACTCGTGGGCTCAAGTGATCCTCCTGCCTCAGCCTCCCAAGTAGATAGAACTATGAGCATATGCCACCATGAGTCCAGCTAATTTGGAATTTTAAAATAAGATATTTAAGAGTAAATCTAACCAAAGATTATGCAATGCCTCTAAGGATAACATTGGTAAATTTTATTTAGATAAAACTTTAAATTATGGAACATCTAAATAAATAATGTTCATGAATTATAAAAGTCAATGTATCATGAAGATTTTTCTATTAAAAAAAAGAGTCAATGTAAAGGTGATAGTTATCCCCAAATTGATTTATAGAGTTAATGTATTCCCAATAAAAAAAAATCCATTTTTTAACAGATTTGACAAACTAATTCTAAAATTCATATAAAAGCACAAAGGACCTAGAACAGCCAAGCATTCTCAGAAAAGAATAAGGAGAGAGAAACAGTCCCATCATATATCAAGACATATAACAAAACTATAGTAATTAAGAAAGGGATAGACAGAGAGACTAATGGAACAGAAAAAAGGATTCTAGGAACAGAGACATACATATATGATTACTTGATAGAAGACAGAGTTGGCATTACAGAGCAGTGGGGAAACAACAATCTTTCATGCTAGGATAATTGATTATACATCAGGAGGAAAATGAAATGAATTTCCTACTGCATATTATCCATAAAAACTCAATTCCGGGCCGGGCGCGGTGGCTCAAGCCTGTAATCCCAGCACTTTGGGAGGCCGAGGCGGGTGGATCACGAGGTCAAGAGATCGAGACCATCCTGGTCAACATG